TTTTTTTTTTTTTTTTTTTTTTTTTTTTTTTTTTTTTTTTTTTTTTTGTGGCTCTGCTTACTTTATTCTTTGGTTCAGGTATTGATATGATCAGTAAAATGCTGAAAATGCAGATGCTAGAGGATGAGGATGATCTAGCTTATGCAGAAACTGAGAAGAAGGCAAGAACAGATTCAACTTCAGATGGGCGTCCATCCTGGATGAGAACACTGCACACCACAGCCTCCAACTGGTTCCATCTTATCCCACAAACTCTAAATCATCTTAAACGAACAGTGGAAAATATTAAGGTGATGATTAAGATTTCCAAATACATATTTTGGTCTGTAAACGAGTAGGGGTTATGCAAATGTGGGTGAGGTATCCTACTCAGATTGCAGCCTGAAAATGGTCTCTCAAAGTCTGCTATACTACTTGAATCTAGAAACAAGGCACTGTTTCCTTTTCTTTGCTGTAATTCAGTTTAAGAAATTATGACAGAGTAACACTTTCATTTAGTTGGGAAGGTATCATGTAGAAGAGTTTATTTCTAGTCTCTTGCTTCCTAAACCAGGGGTGCTGTAAGTGCAGCATCATACACACCACATTTCAGTTCACTTGAGTGATCAGATGAGTGTATGTTGGCTCAAAGGTAGTATCACTGGTTGGTCCTCATTGGAAAGCTGGGTGGTAGCTAATACTGAGGCTTCTGCTAATTGGGAGTGGGGACTAATAATGAAAGGGAGCCATAAAGCTCTGAGGCTAGTATGAGACAGGTTGTTTTACAATCAAGAGAGTTTATGGAAAGTCTGTTTCTAGGTTGTTGAATAATTCAGACGTGGATTATATATTAATCTTTTCTGTTTAGATCAGGTTATGGACTTGGGCTCTGGACATAGATACAGAAAGGAATAGGAACTTGTAGTAATCAGGCCAAACTGCAGCAGGCAGCTTGCACGCTGTTGTTCCCCCCTACAGTTGGTGTCAGTAGAGAATGAAGTTCTTGCTTCAATTCCCTTAAACTATCATCTGTGAGGCAGCTGCATCTTTGGGGTGGATGGAGGAAATGACTGCATTGTAAAAAACACATTACGGTGAGGCCTTAACAGTTGATGATAATACATGTGGGATTTGGGTAGCCAACTAGTGCCCTTCAGTGTTGCAGGGCTACGGTTAGTTTTCCCACCAGAAGATGCTCATCTTGTTGTTTCCTCATTTTTCTTGCTTAAATAAGGATCCGTTGTTCCGATTCTTTGAGAGAGAAGTGAAAATGGGAGCCAAATTACTTCAGGATGTCCGTCAGGATCTTGCAGATGTGGTTCAGGTTTGTGAAGGCAAGAAGAAACAGACTGACTACTTGCGTACACTTATAAACGAATTGGTGAAAGGTATGTGACTTCAAACAGGCTTCTCTTTTTAAAATGCTTTCCCAGTAATCCTATTACATCAGTTGATGTCTTCTCATTTCCAGCACTGACCAGTAAAAGAAACACCACTATTCTTGCCTAATACAAAATTCTGAAAGTCAAAATGGTGAGGTTGGTCCTGTGACATATATGAACTGCAGTATTGCCAACCTAAGCATTCAAATAGCATGAGATTGGTGTAAAAAATTGATTTTTTTTTTCAAGTCAGTCTAGGTTTTTTGCCTTTGGGGTTCACTTGGATTGTGGTTTTTAACCTTGTGCTGCAACTGTGGGAGCTAGAAACTATTTAAATGAAAGATTAAACTTTCATGTTACTGTCCAGGAGCTGGAGATTTAAGTAAGACATCTATATTGTATGACTTGGAAAAGAATTGAGAGTTGGCAGCACTAAAACTGAGTGTGTTATCAAAAAGTAAGATTTTTGCTGAGTTTGAAACAAACAGCCGGAGCCTGGTGTGACGGGTTTGGTCACAGAGGCCCCCTTGGGACTGTCACTTGATGTGCTGGAATTACCTCTGAGCCTGTTTTCCCTGCCATCTTGGGACTCCAGAACCCTGCCTTGTTGAGTCAGATACGCTAGCCTGCTGCAACACAGACCCAGGTCTGGTCCATGCACCCAGAGCTGCAGACTTTAACCAAAAACTGCTCAGCAGGTCACCTATCTCCAGCACCCAGACACCCAGTTCCCAATGGGATCCAAACCCCAAATAAATCTGTTATACTTTGTATAAATCTTATACAGGGTAAGCTCATAAATTGTCCGCCCTCTGTAACACTGATAGAGAGATATGCACAGCTGTTTGCGCTCCCAGGTATTAATCACTTACTCTGGGTTTAATAATAAACAAAAATTCTTTTTATTAAGAATAAAAAGTAGGATTTAAGTGATTTCAAGTAATAACAGACAGAACAATATAAGTCACCAAGCAAAATAAAGCAAAACACATAAGTCTAAGCCTAATACATTAAGAAACTGAATTCAGGTAAATTTCACCTTCAGAGATGTTCCAATAAGCTTCTTTCACAGACTAAACTCCTTCCTAGTCTGGGCCCAATCCTTTCCCCTGGTAGAGTTCTTGTTAGTTCCATCTCAGGTGGTACCTAGGGGATTTCTCATGACTGGCAGCCCCCCTTCTTCTGCTCCACCCCCTTCTATAGCTTTGGCCCAAGGTGAGAATCTTTTCTCTCTCTCTGGGTCCCCACCCCTCCTTCTAAATGGAAAAGCTCCAGGTTTAAGATGGATTCTCGTATCATGTGACATGGTCACATTTCCTGTGAGACCCCAGCCTTCATTCTTCCAGGGCTGGCCTGCACGTCCCCAGGAAGGTTTGCAAGTAAACAGAGCCATTCACAACCAATTGTCCCAGTCAATGGGAGCCATCAAGAGTCCAAGCCACCATTAATGGCCCACACTTTACATAATTACAATAGGACTTCAGAGTAATACTTCATATTTCTAGCTTCAGAGACAAGAATGATACATTCATACAAATAGGTTGAACACACTCAGTAAATTATAAGCTTTGTAATGATACCTTACAAGAGACCTTTTGCATAAAGCATATTCAAGTTGCATTATATTCACTCATAAGCATATGTCCATAAACATATGGAGTGCAACCGTTACCCCAGTGTTGTTGAACCAGTTTCAACCAAAACCTTAAGTTTTAAGCACTCACTTGTAACAAAATTATCAGAGGAACTCCAGAAGTTACCCTGGCTTTATTTTCTCTGCTCATACATTTGGCAGTATGATGAGAAGGGGACATTTTGTACCAATATAGTGGAATAGGCTGATGGTCGAGATATCGATTTAAGCAGAACTATTGTACAGTAAATTAATGAAATATTCTTTGCCTTGTGACCTGAGGATAAAGGTAGTGGTATCCTGCGCAATAACTCCTTAAAATTGCAGTCTTCCATGTTGCAAAGGCTTAATTCTAAAATAAGCTGAGACGTATTTTGCAACTCGATGTATATGCTAATAAACTTACTAATAAATGTCTTACAACTTACTAACAAATCCTGGAAGTCAGACAGTAATTTCTGTTTAAATATTGATCTGCAGAACACATTTTAGAAAACTAGGTAGCTTTCTATAATGTCATGAAACTCTGTCTTTCAGTTTGTTTACACTTGTACTCTCTGGTCCCAGATAGGTTAGAACCCCACTGTGCTTGGTGGTATAAAAAAATCTGTTGTACAACACAGTAATAGCGAAGTGGCTGCCACTGAAAGGGTAAAATTTGCATTTGGAAATCATGTGTAATCCAACTCATACCCATACAGAGCTCTTACCTTGGATACGTCTTCTCTAGGTATTCTGCCTCGTAGCTGGTCTCATTACACTGTACCT